CACAGTGCACAGCACAGGACAGGTGGGACCCACAGTGCACAGCACAGAGGACAGGTGGATTTGGAACTCATGTTGAAGAGGGGTGTGACAGTGCACATCTGTAATTTCACACTCCAGAAACTGAGACAGGACAACCTGGGCTACACAGGGAGACCCTATCTCAAAGCAAACAATGTATATATATATGTGTGTGTGTGTGTGTGTGTGTGTGTGTATACACGTGCATGCATGCATGTGTGCGTGAGTGCACATTTGTGTGTTTATCTGTGGATGTCAGAAGGGAACCTCAGATGCTGTTCCTCAGGCACCTAGTTTAGAGACAAGTTCTCTCACTGGCCTGGAGCTCACCAAGTAGGCTAGGCTTGTCAAGCAGTGATCCCCAGGGATCCACCTACCTCTGCCTCCCCAGTACGAGGTCACAAAGCATGTGTCCCATGCCTGGCTTGACTATCACAGAAGTATTTTAGACCCACTCAGTCTTCTCAGTCTTAATTTGCTGTTTTTGAGACAGGATCTGATGTAGCCCAGTCCAGTTTCAAACTTAATATGTAGCTAAGTATGACACTGAACTTCCTGCCATGTTTCTTCCTCCCAGTGCTTCGTTTAAACTCTGAATGTGTTTAGTTTAGAACAGAAGAATCTCTGAACAGGACTCTCCTAATTAGCTAGATGACATTTTAAAATGATACATTATGGAGATACTCTCTGCTGTTCATTTACTATTTGAATTTTAGGCTGGTGGAGAAAGTGTTTCTCTAAAGCAGAATGTGAAGTAAAGCTGGGCCGAGACAGAGCTCAGCTGCAGAATGGCTTCTTGGCATGTATGGGGCTCTGGGTTTGATTCTCAGCCTTACAAATGACAGCAACAAAACTGGCCATGGTAGTGTGTGCCCGCTGCCCAGTATGTGGGAGTGGAGGGTGCATGTGCCCGCCAGCTGGTACTGGGGACTTAGGCAAGGGCCCCACCTAACATTCCAAGTCTGTCTGAGCTGCAGGGTGAAGCTCTGCTCAAAGTAAAAGGGGGCTGGAGAGATGATCCAGCAGTCATTGGGTACTCTTGGAGAGGATCTGGGTTTTGTTCTTCGCATCATCCCTGGTAACCCCAGTTTCCAGGATCTGACACCCTCCTGCCGTTACAGGTACTGTATGCACCTGGTGCACATACAGACAAGCAGGCACATACACATAATAATAGATAAGTGGTTTTTTTGTTTATTATTTTTAAGTAGTAAGCTGTTTTGTAATGAACGTTTGGGATTGATCGCATTTTGTTATAGGCTAATGCAATTGAACTTTGAAACTCAGCTTTAAAGCTTTGCTTTCCTATACCAAAAGGAACAATTATAAAAGCTCCATTGTTAACTAGTCTATGGCAGACAGTGTGCTTTACTTTACACATACTATGTACAGACTTTTGAGGCCCTAGTAGTCCCATTTCACAGAGGAGGACATTGAGGCGTAGTGAGCATAGTGAGGGGAGTGAGCCACTCTGTCAGGTGGTGAGTTCGTGTGGAACAGTCTGCCACTCAGGCTGTGTCCCTGTCAGTCAGGTCTGGAGAAAATCATTATGAAGGAAAGAGAAGGCCTTTAGTCCTCCTCCTTCCTGACATCCTGTAAGTAGAACATGGCGTTGAGAGAGGGCTTGTGTTTGTGGCAGACTGTAGGCTGACTGTAGGCTGTGCTCAGTTATTGGGGTTTAAGTAAGTAGCAGTGCTGTGCAGGATATAAACAACAATGTTTGTTCCGATCCTAGACTCCGGATGTCGACTTCTGGATCACCCCCATTATCCAGGGGTTTGTGCAGATTGAAGAGCTTGTGGTTAATTACAACGAGTCATCTGATGATGACAAGAGCAGCCCAGAGACACCCTCTCAGGACCCCACTTGTGTAGATGACATTCATCCGAGGTTCCTAGTGGCTCTTCTGTCTCGCAGAAGTAGGCACAGAGCAGGTGAGTAGGAGCATGCAGGCGGGAGTGGAGGAGCTGTGGATGTGCTGAAATGCAAATGACAATCAAGGCCTTGAAAGCAGTTAGCTCCAAACTCCAAAGGCTGGGGTGGAATTAGAGACTGATTTCTGCAGTGGAGGAGAAGGGCAGACTTAGCAAGTCAGACAGAGCAGGCAGCGTGCAGACAGATGATAAGAGAGTCACTTGGGATGTGTCTGAGGACAGTGTTCCAACTAAAAGCCTGTGTCACAGTGATAAATCCTTTCAGAGTGCTAACTAGCCCCTTTGGGAAAACCATTGTCTTTCATTCAGAGGATTCAACTTAGCAGTGATGGGTACAGCTGTGATCTTGGGTATGTTGTTGTTGTTGTTTACCTGTGAATATGTGTAGGCTTCCCAGGCTTTCCTGTAGACAGGTAATTAGGAAGCACAATCTAATCAGATGGTTTTGTTGAGAGTTGTGCTATGTAGCCCAGGCTGGCCTCAAACTTGCAATTTTCTTGCCATAGCCTGCAGAACATTGAAATATCAAGTACCTAACCACCCTGGCTGTGTTTTCATAGCTGTTGCTGCTTTCTGTTTTTCTTCCAGGAATGCGGTATAAACGAAGGGGAGTGGATAAAAACGGAAATGTTGCGAATTATGTGGAGACCGAGCAGTTGATCCATGTTCATAATCATACCCTGTCATTTATTCAAACGCGAGGCTCTGTGCCCGTCTTTTGGAGCCAGGTTGGGTATCGCTATAATCCAAGACCTCGGCTTGACAAAAGTAAGCACTCAGTTATTTGGTTTGCAAGTGAAGATTTCGATGAGAATTTTTAAATAAAAAAATCAGGTGCCAGATAGGTATAAATTTGTTTCATTTAAAACAATAACTCAGGGCTGGGATGTGCTAGAAGCCCTGTTCAATCCCTGTACTGAAACTACACAACAAAAGCCAAGCCTCCCACTGTGATGTGTCCTCACAGGTGACAGAGGTGAGGTAGTAGCCTCAGGACTGAGTCCTCTCCTGGATGTTGCAGCTTCTCAGCTAGCAAATAAAGAGCCTCACTTCACAGACTCTGACCTGCTGTGGCTTTGAAGCTTATCTTCTAGAACATCTAACTCTGGGGAGGGAGGAATGTAGCCAGAGTGTGTAGGAGCAGGGAGTGTGTTAACAAAACAGCTGTGCGCAGGAAGTCAGTGAGAGATACGGGCTGTTTTGAAACATTTAAGATTGATTTTCTTAGAATATTTTAACTTTAGTATCAAACTATCATTTTCATTTTCTTATTTTAAGTCACATGAAACCTTTACTGAAAGGTAGGGTGTGTATTGAGTGCATGTGTGCACATGCATCCATGTATGTGCCTGCGTGTGTGTTTATAGTTTCATAGTTGGTACTTTCAGATATATTTCAGCTCAGTCTAATTGGGAAAAAAGAAATACCAATTTAAACTGTTAATACATTTTTAAAAAGTAGGCCCTACCATGGTAGTGCATGTTCTTGATCCTGCACTCAGGAGGCAGAGGCCGGGGAATCTCTGGTCTACATAGTGAGCCCCAGGACAGCCAGTGCAACACAGACAAACCTTATCTTGAAAAATAAATAAGAAAATAAGAATAAAGATGGAGTAGGTGGGGCTAGAGATGGCTCAGTGGTTAAGAGCACTGACTGCTCTTCCAGAGGCTGTGAGTTCAATTCCAGCAACCACATGGTGGCTCACAACCATCTGTAGTAGGATCCAATGCCCTCTTCTGGTGTGTCTGAAGACAGCTACAGTGTACTCATATAAATAAAATAAATCTTTAAAAACAAAGACAGATGGAGTAGACACTCATCTGTCTCAGCACTGGAAGGAGAAATAGATTTTGTATTGCTTCTTTGCAGGTGAGAAGGAAACGGTCGACTGTTTCTGTGCCCATTTTGAAGAACAACTGAAAATTTACAAAAAACAGGTGGGCTTTAGTATGTAGTAAGAATAATTTCCTTACACGTGGAATTCCATGAAAAAAAAAAACCAAACATGTACTGTTCATAATTAAACAGCCACTTTTAGCATATAGATTAAAGACAGGTAAGCTAAGAATACTCTGGAGACAGCTGCTTTAGCTGTTTGGAGAAAATGGAGTAGGTGCTGTTAGTTGTCACAGACTAGGATAGGCATCTCAGGACCTGGTGTACTCACACGTGGAGTACAGTCAAATAAGGCAGAATGGACTAAAAACCTCTAGGTGGAAAACAAGTTCAATAATTTTGGTACAAGATTAATATATGAAAATCAGTAATGTTCTTGTCTATTAGGAATGACCAATTTGACAGTGTAATGACATGTGAGTCATTTTTTCCTGGCTAGCCTAGTCTACATAGAGAGTTCCAGGCCAGCAAACCAGGCAATATAGTGAGACCCTGTCTTAAAATAAAGGAGAGGAGACGGGAGAGAAGATGCCGAGTTCCTGGTTCAGGAATGGACAGACTCAGTGCTGTATGACTTCTGTTCTTCCCAGATTAGTATCTAGATTCACATAGCTTCAGCCAGAGTCTCATAGGCAACAGGAAGAAAAAAAAATCAGGAAAAAACAAACAATCATTATTTAATAATCATAATCAAAATTTACATAGTTTTATAATAGATAAAAGCAGATATTTGCTTTTAAAAATGGAAACTCAAATGTTGCTAGCAATAGCATAAGTTGGTACAGGCACTTTGAATGTTATTATCAATTAAAATAAAACATAATAATACTTAACTATACTTTTCTTTTTGAAACCCACTATCCATCCACTCCATTCATATATATATATATATGTTTTTTTTTGAGAAAAACTCTTGATCTGAATGTAAAAGGTTAAATATTGAAGCTTTCAGAAGACAGCATAGTGTTTCTGACTTTGAGTCATGAGCAGGATTTATAAAAGCAGTTACCTTATCTTTCTTTGTCTCAAATGTATGATTGTCTATCCAATTTTATTAGTCACTTAATGCCCAACCAGGAAATAGTTGTTTTGGGGCTGGAGGGACGTCTCAGGGATTAATAAGAGTGTGTACTGCTCTGCAGAGGACCTGAGTTTGGATCCCAGCACCCACTCACACAAAAATAAAGAAAGAGAAGAAAAGTGACATGACATATGTCTTCAGTCCCAGCACTTGGAGCCAGGGGCAAGAGGATCTCTGTGAGTTTGAGGCCAGCCTGGTCTACAGAGAGATCACCAGGACAGCCAGGGCTACACAGAGAAACCCTGTATCAATAAACAAAACAAAAATAGTTACTTAAAAAAATAAAAGTAACGTCTGGGGAGATGGCTCCATAGGTAAAGTATGTGACACACAGGTGTGACATGGGCCTGCGTGTGTCCTCAGAGTTCACACACCATCAGGCACAGGGCCATGATCTGTAATCTCAGGGCTCTTCAGGAGAGCTTGGACATGGAGAAAGGAGAATCCTGGAGGTCTATAGGCCAGCTTGCGTTAAACAATACAGATACTGCCCCAAACAAGATGGAAGACAAGGGCCAACATCCAAGGTTGACCTCTGACCTCTGCGAATGTGCTATGCTGTGCAGTCACCACACAAAGATACATACATGTACAAAATAACACTAACCATAATGGAAAAGGAGTAACTTGATTCTTATTTTACATTTTTAATTATTTATTATTTCTAATAATGCACAATAGAAGCTCATGCATAAAATTAAAAAATACTTTTTAAAAAGACATTATGAAGAGAATGAAAGATAATTCAGAGAGTGGGGAGAGGGTGCTGTAGAGTTAAGAGCTCTTCTTGCTCTTGTAGAGGACCCGGGTTCCATCCCTAGAATGCATATGGTGAGTGAGTCCAGTTCCAGGGAATCTGACACCTCCTTTTGACCTCAGAAGGCAGCAGCACCACACATGGTACATATAGATAGATTTAGGCAAAACACACATAAAATAAATCTTTAATAGTTAGGATTTGGTCTGTTATCTTACAGCACATTTGAATGTCTTCTAAATCCATTTAAAAGGATGTACAGTCCAAAA